TCTACTAGGTCCATCTCGTCCAGTTTTTCATTTAAGTCCACTATTTCTTTATTGACTTTTTGTCTGGATGATCTATCCATTGATGTAAGTGGGATATTAAGATCCCCTACTATTATTGTGTTGTTGTTAATGTCTCCTTTTAGGTTTGTTAATAGCTAACCTTGGTGCTCCTGTGTTGGGTGCATATATATTTATAAGTGATATGGGGCCCCTTTTATCATTATATATTTCCCTTCTTTCTCTCTCTTAACCTGTTTTATCTTGAAGTCTACTTTGTCTGATATGAGTATGGCAACACCTGCTTTCTTTTGTTTGCCATTAGCTTGGAGTATTGTCTTCTATCTTTTTACTCTGAGCCTGTGCTTGTCTTTAGAGCTGAGATGTGTTTCTTGGAGGCAGCATATTGTTGGGTCTTGCTTTTTAATCCATCCTGCCACTCTGTATCTTTTGATTGGAGAGTTCAATCCATTTACATTTAGGGTAATTATTGATATATGTGGGCTTAATGTATAGCAAGGAGTTTTTTGAAAGCAGGAAATAATATAAATGCCTGATAATTGACTTGGCAAGCCCAGGGAAGCCACATCCCAGGCCAGTGGCAGAGAAAGCTGATGGCCAACCTGCTACACGCCACAGAACCCTCAAAAGGCACAGAGCAGGCATCACAGAGTCTCACTGTGGTGTGGGGTGGAGTGGACAGGGAAAGCTGTCTGAGAACCAGTCAGGTCCCTAAGTCCTTTCCCCAATTCCAGTTCTCCCGGTAATTGCCTTTCCCCCAGCACAAGATGAGGTTTATTCTATGCAGACGGTGAAAGCAGGCGTCTCTGGTTTGGGGGACAGCAGATGTAGTTGATGGTGCACGTCAGGGGGATTAGGTGAGCGTATGCCCTGTGAATGTTGTACACTAACTTTCCAACCCTTTTCCTGCCACTCAGCTCCTAAATTTCTAGCAGCTAGTCTTTTACTCTTCAGGCAGGAGATTAGAAATTTCTCTGGGAAATCTGACCAATCTAAGGGGAAAGAAATAAAAAAACCTATGGGGCTGGGGGGAGGATCCCCAACAAAAAGCCGTGATTGCAGAGATTCCAATCAGCCTTTCATTCTTATGAATAAAAAAACCAAGGATAATCAGACACCTGAGGAAAGCCTGTAACCTGGAAGATAAAGTCTAAAACTAATAAACAAACAGTACAAAGCAACTTAGAGGAAATAGAGACCATAGAAAGAAAGGAAAACAGTGAAACAAACCAACAAATAAAACTCTATCCTTAAACCACAGAGAAATAAAAGAAGGTCATCAAAAATGAGCTGCTAAACAAACAGGAAGCTCAGAACAAGATGATCTCTTAGAAATTAAAAACCTGAGAGGAAAATGGGGGGAAAATCCCCACCTCATTTGAAGTATGGGAAGATAAGTTAAGGAACTCTCCCAGAATGGGTAGAGATGGAAAATGGGAAGGAAAAGATAAGAAAATAAGGAGATCCAATATCCTAATACAAGTAGCTCCAGAAAGAAAGATTAGGAATGGGGAAGGGAGGAAATTCTCAACAAAATTACTTGACAAAATTTCCCGAAACTGAAGGACTTGAGTTGCTGGATTATAAAGACTTACCAAGTGCCCAGCACTGTGGTTGAAAATAAACCCCTTTTAAGTATGTAATCCTTACAGTGAACTATTCAGTCACTGTTAAAAATGTAAAGAGTTATGAATAATACTGTTATGAAATTGTTGTATGTGTTTTTTGGCATACATATGTATGCGTTTCTGTTGGGGATGTACCTAGGAGTCAAATTGTTGGGTCATAGAATATTAGTAAATAATGTCAAATAGTTTTCCAAGTGATTGGAAATATAATGTCCATTTATATCAATTTATACCCAGTCAAAAACTGAAAACAACTCAAATGTCCCCTCTATAAGAGAATGGATAAATAAGTTTTAGTATGAAATACTATACAGCAGTGAATATGCCAAGGTTTTATGACATCCAACAATATGGAGGAATTCACAAACATTGTTGAGTGAAAGAAGTCAGACAAAAAGGGTATATGTTGTATGACTCCATCTGAGTAAATTCAAAGACAGGCAAAACTCAACTATGATGATAGGAGTTGGGATTGTGGTTACCTTTGGAGAGGGGTGGTGTCTGAGGGGGCAAGTAGGGGGCTTCTAGGGAGCTGGTAATATTCCATTTTAATATGTACATGGTGGTTACTTGGTGTGTACATTCTGAAAACTCATTAAGCTGTACCCTTATCATTTGTATACTTTTCTGTTTAAATGTTATATTAAAAAGTTAAATTAGAGAGCCGGCCTAGTGGCATAGTGGTTAAGTTTGCATGCTCCACTTTGGCGGCCTAGGGTTTGCAGGTTTGGATCCCAGGCGTGGACCTACCGCTCATCAAGCCATGCCGCAGCAGGTGTCCCACATATAAAGTGGAGGAAGATGGGCACGGATGTTAGCCCAGGGCCAATCTTCCTCAGCAAAAAAGAGGAGGATTGGCAACAGATGTTAGCTCAGGGCTAATCTTCTTCACCAAAAAAAAAAAAAGTTAAAGAATTAAAATTATAAGCATATAAATTAAGTTGATTCATTGAAAATTAAGTTGATTCGTGGAAAGGTGTTCTGAAGTTAATGTTAATTGAAATTAGCAGGACAAAACTATGTTAACGCTGTAATAGTGAAAAATTTTTGTACATGTATACATGGAGGTTTGGGGAAAGGACATAATATTGTAAGTAGTTGGTATTTCAGTTTATTATTCTTTTATGTAAATTAGCATCTTATAAAGGAGGAAAGAAAACCACATGTGTCTGCTGGTTGTGTTGCTATTCTAAAACAAGATTGTCCTGTCCTAGATTATTGCCTCAGAATTGGGATAAGCTAATGATTGGTGATCAGCTAATGTTGGTAGTTTTTGTTTTTGTTTTTTTTTTAAGATTTATCATAAGGCAAATAGTAGCATGACTGACCCCTTTACTTTCAAATGTGACATTTATGAAGATGTGATATGTCCCTATTTCTCTTCTTTATCTATTTCTCCTTGTTTCCTAGGTTTTTGTGGAGACCCTGGATAAGTGTTTTGAAAATGTTTGTGAATTGGATTTGATCTTCCATATGGATAAGGTACCTTCTCTCCCAAACCAGAGTTACCAAAAAACTAAGGGCCTAGGACATCTCTAGCCACCTCTCTGCCTTCATGTTCTTTGTTTTGGTTTTTTACTCTAGGGATAGTCCTAGAACCTGTTTTATTTAATAACTTAAGTTTAATAGTTTTGGGGGTATTTTGCCAAGATCTGTTACCAGTTTTAACGCACACAGGATTATTACTGGGACTATATCATGGTTCATCTTTTACAGACAGACTTTTTGGTGTAGGACAATGGTATCACTAGAATGACTGGCTACCAGGCCAAAGGTGAGATAAATAGTTGATTTTATGTTGATTACAAATGAGTTTCCTAGACATAGTCCAATAACAGTGAGGCTTTGGAATAATCTTGACACAGGGGCTTTGACTTTCCTAGTAAAATTTATATTTTTCCTAAAGAGTAATGGAGTGACTAAGATATCAGTAACATACTTTGAGGTCAGGTGATATACTCTAGGGAAACCAACTGTCAGAGGCAGAATTGAAACGTTCTAAAGTACATGTTCTCCGATTTGTGTTGCTAGCATAACTGACATGGCCTATCTCCTCTCATGCCAAATTAAACATGGGAGATAGCCAGCAAGGGGATAGGAACTAGCACATTTATTTTGTCCAACTAGGCACATGCTGTACCCTGTGCTGTTCACTGGTGGAGACTGGTACATCTTAGGTTTGCTTGGTCCTGGTTTTTCTTCAGCTATTTGTTGTCACTACGATCTGTGGCCCTTGGAGGGAGATAATGATTTTTAGGAGACCACTACTCATTGCTAACCATGATCCTTTATTAACTTGTTTTCATCCTGATGAAGTAGGTGTTTTTAGATCCATCTAGAGGACTTTGTTGTCATTTTCCAATAGGATCTCCAGTCTCTGTTAACTCTCCCACGGTTCTCAGATGATACTTTCCGGGCTTACGCAATGAGTGCATTCTTTTTTTTTTTTTTTTTTTTTTAAAGATTTTATTTATTTATTTTTCCCCTAAAGCCCCAGTACATAGTTGTCTGTCATAGCTGCACATCCTTCTAGTTGCTGTATGTGGGACGCGGCCTCAGCATGGCTGGAGGAGTGGTGCCTCGGTGCGCACCCGGGATCCGAACCCGGGCCGCCGGCAGCGAAGCGCACGCACTTAACCGCTAAGCCACGGGGCCGGCCCAATGAGTGCATTCTTAAGGTTGAATGTTGGAAAGGAGTGAAGTTTTCTTTCTCAACATCTCGCTTGGCTCTGTGGCTTGATGAGCAGCCTGATGTGGGAGAATCCCAGAACCCCATTCCTTCTGTAGATACCTGACTTGGGGCTTCCTGATAGCCTCACAAGGCTTCCAGAGCTCACAGGTGCTTTTGAGGTGGTCACTCTCCCTTTTCTAAAATCCCTTTGAAAGGATTTTAGAAACTTCAGAGACCTCTTAGCCCCCTCTTTACAAGCAGTTGGAGTTGCTTTAGGCTTGTCAGTTGTTAAAGGTGCTGCTATCTTGTAATTTCTGTTAAGGAGAGCCATAGTTCAAATCTAGTTTCTTTTTGTACTAGTGGGAAAAAAAGGTTAAAGTTAAAGAGACTTGAGAATGTCGGAGGAATGCCTTCTATAGACCTTATTGTTATCGTTTTAAAACAATCTTTTTTATTGTGAAATACAAGATGTTACTTTTGGGGTTACCACCTAGTTTCAAAGTAGATACTTTTGCAGATGCCACCTGTTGCTTATCAGGCAGGAGATGAATCCACATCTCAAAGCATGGATTAAGGGATAGGTTTTACTAGGGAGAGGGGAAATTCCCAAGCAAGAGAAGAGAAGGAACAGGTCTCCCATCCTCCAAATGTCCCCATGGAGAGGTGTGTTGGGGCCAGTCTCTGCTGGAGTGACTCACCCTCCACCCTCCTCTGTAAGTGTGCTCTCTTTTATCAGGCAACTGTGGGAGTAGCCTTACCTGTGAGGAGGTACACAAACTGTGTGGACACCAGGCAATCTATTTGGGTGCTCACTGCTTATAGAAGTTGTCTGGGAATGCTAGCTGCCCAACTGAAAACTTTGGAGCCTGTGGGATGATACACCTGGAGGAAGCAATTGCAAGTCCCCTGGGAAATTGAGCTTTGGGTCCTTTGCATTTTAGTATACAATTTAGGGTCAGCTTATAAGTTACACACACACACCCCCACACATGCACACACACACCCACACACATATATACAATTTAGAGTCAGCTTATAAGTTACACACACACACACAGTTGGGATTTTGATTGGAATTGCACTGAATCTATAGAACATTTGAGGAGAATTTACATCTTTACAATATTGAGTTTTATCTGTATTATGGTATATCCATTTCTTTAGGTCGTCTTTGAGGTTTCTCAATGAACTTTTATAATTTCTCCCATAGTGGTTTTATATATCTCTTATTAAATTTGTTCCTAGATACCTGTATTTTATGTATGTTTTAAGCATATTCATTTTTTTATTTTTGCTATATAGATGTCACTTTATTTCTGTATGTTGATGTTGAATCCAGAGATTGTGTTAAACTGTTATTAATTCTGATATTTTATCTGTAAACATTTTGCCCATTTATTTCCAATCCTTGTATCTTTCATGACTTTTTCGTGCTTTACTTTGCTGACTAGGAATTCCAGTGTAATGTAGAATACAAGTAGTGATAGTAGGCATCTCGTTTGGATCCTGATTTCAAAGAGAAGCTTTCATTCTGTCACCATGAAGTACAGTATTTGCTATATATATAGTATTTGAAGTATAGTAGGTTTTTTGGTAAATATTCTTTATCAGGTTAAGGAAGTTTGCTCCCTTCTCTTCCTAGTGGGTAAGAAGTGTTAGTCATGAAAGGGTATTAAAATGTATCAAAAGCTTTTTCTCCATCTCCTAAGGTAGTCATGATTTTTTGCCTTATCATTCTAATATTGTTTTTTAAATATTTGTAAGGATACCTGCTAAAGCAGTAAAGTAATTCCAGTCCTAACTATTTTATTGGGCATGGCTTTAAAAGGAAATAAAAGGCCATAAAAATGTTCTTTCTCATATGTCTTATCTTCAAATAAGTTCCATAAAATATTTTGCTGCTGCTGCACATTTCTTTTACAGTTTATAAAACTTTATTTTTAGTTGTTCACATGACATCAGGAAATTACTCTCCATATCTCCTGAGGTTTTTGAAAAGGGATGATGTAAGGAGTCAGAATCGCACTCTACTCACCTTTCAAATGTCTGAAGGTGTCTTGCAGCAGGTGATTTTCTTTTAGTGGGATTTCAAGCTTATCTCTGCCCTCACATAGAGCAGTTGCTAATTCAGACATATCTTCTATTGATAGTAGAAAATGGTCTTTTTACTCAGATAGGCAAAGGACCTGTCATAAGATAGTAGGAATATCACCTTGAATGCTATCCTTTTTTTTTTTGGTGAGGAAGATCAGCCCTGAGCTAACATCCATGCCAATCCTCCTCTTTTTGCTGAGGAAGACTGGCCCTGAGCCAACATCTATTACCAATCCTCCTCCTTTTTCTCTCCAAAGCCCCAGTAGATTAGCTGTATGTCATAGCTGCCCATCCTTCTAGTTGCTGTATGTGGGACGCCACCTCAGCCTGGCCAGACAAGCAGTGCATTGGTGCACGCCCGGGATCCGAACCTGGGCCGCCAGCAGTGGAGCGCACGTGCCCAACCACTAAGCCACAGGGCCGGCTCCATGCCATCCTTCTTAATTGAAGAATCTCTCCACCTAACATCAGAACTCCCATCAGTCCCTAGACCTTTACACTCTGCATTAGATTGTCACAGAGAGCTGCCCCATTACCCTAAGCAGATGTGGCTAGAGTAGCAGGCCTGTGTAAGGACCAGATATGACTGAATTCCTGCTGCCCTGGCAATTTGTTTATTTCTAATCTGGAGATTTCTTTTTCAGCTTCCTAAATTGTTTTTGTTAATACTCTTTTTTTAATCACTGCTGCTCTCTTTACTTCTTATCTCTCCTTTTCTTCCTGTCTTAAAGGAAGATTTGCTCCGTTCTGTTTCTAGAGCTAAGTCCTTTTCCTGTCTTTCCCCAATGTACACCACAATCTCGCTTCTTCAGCTCGTCTCTGAGGGGTCTTTATTTGTTCCTTCTTGTGTAACTACAGATCTTTCCACATGGCCCCAGTCTCTCACAGAATCAGCTCTTCCTGTGTTTCTGCTGCCCCTTTTAACTGTCGTTCCATTTCTATCATTTCATTTAACGTAAACTTCTTGAATGAGGGAGTGATTTACACCCAGTCTTGCATTTCTACTTCATCTGTTCCCTTTCTGGAGCCCCATAACCTGGTTTTCTGTCCTACCCAAAATTCGCTGATGATTTCCTAATCCCATTTGCCACTCATCGCGTTCTCTAATGCTTCTGCAGTATTTGATGCTATTCATCATTCCATGGAGCACTGCCTTCTTAATGCTTTTTCCATCTTTGTTTCTGTCACATAGAACCCTCTTGGTTTTACCCTTATTCTCTTCCTACCTTCTATCACTAAATTATGTTGTCATTTCTTACCCTGCTCTTCTCCGTTCCGTGTTTCCACTATAGATCTCATCCGTTTCTCATACTTAAACCGTTATCCATCTAGGTAATTTCCAAATTGGTAATTTCTAGTCCTGATGTATGGCCTGAGTCCTATTCCTATATTTCCAACTGCCTGAAGACATTTCTTCCTCATTTCTTTCTAGCGTCTTATTTCTTCTTGCCACTTTGTATCTGGAGCCAGATTCAGCATGTCTCCTGAAAACCGTTTCTTTCCCCAGCTTCCCTTTTCCAGTGGTGCTACCACCATTCTCTGTCAAATACACTCAAAGCCTTCCCTCCCTCATCCTTGCTTCCAACAGCCAGTCAATCACTAAAACCTGTTGCTTCTTCCTGTAGGGTCCGTCTTATATCTTGTTCTTAGATTCACCAGTTATTAACATTTGGCACATTTGCTTTTATGTCTCTCTCTGTGGATATATACTTCCTGA